GCGTGGTGGGGATCGACTATTCTGAAAGTGCAATTGCTCTTTCGAAGAAGCTACTCACAGAGGAAACTGCCTTGGCGGATCGCGTTGACTTTAAGGTTTGTTGAGTAACTTCCTTCTGCTTGCTCCATTTTGTAAGCTTGGTTGCATCGTCAAATAACTTCGATTGTAATTTAATTACACGCTACTAATATTTGTAAGTAGCAATTATTGTTTTGTTACTATACTTTTGGGAGTGCGAAGCCCACAGCCTCGACGCGCGAGTTTAGCAGAAAATTGTTATCATTCCTAGGGGCTCGTTAGCGTTTTGTAGCGCGATTGGCTAACTTAATCGATGTTTATACTCCAAACAACGATTATTATGATTACTGCTACTACTACTACTACTACCACCAACACTACTACTCCTGCTATTACCATTGCTGCTGTTAATGCTACTACGTCTCGACTAACATGCTAGTAGTCTAAGTTTTTCTCAGGCGTGAAGAAGCGGCTTCTAATAATTGCTGACATTTGGCGTGACCAAGGCCAGACCACATCGGCTTAAATTTCGTAAAAACGTTATCTCGTTAGTAAATTTGCCTTCTTACGCTAAAGTTGACAATTTGATCGCTAGAAGCAATGATTCATTTACCCGAGCTATTTGAGGAATTTTTAGGATCATTCCATAGATAAAAAAGCTCGACAAAAATTAAAAATTGGGAACTGCAGATAACATGGAGCCAACAAAGACAAGGGAGACTGGAATGCTCATTTCTATTCTATAAGCTATCACTAGTTAGCCAGTCAGTTTCCTCTGTCTTGTCGTTCTGAATCGAATCTGAATCTTATCGTTCTTCATCGATCTTTGTAATAGAGTCACCAATCATGTTGTTTGGCTGTCTCTTTTGGGTATACGACTGCGAAATCAACACATATTTAGCGATACTCGTGGCAACTGAGTTGAAGGCGTGATTTTGTTCTAGGCAGTGATTTGCCACAGGCGAAAGTGAGCCTCCCCTTCGACTCAGTCTTCTTCCAGATTGGCCTTTACACTTACAAGGGCAGTTACCCCAGGAAACGCGTTAGATCACACACTGATACATTCTTGAGTTTATTTACTGCTGGCTGATGGGAACGCCAAAGCACGATATTTTCCGCTCCGGCTGTCTAAGTTCATCTTCCCGCTTTACTTAACTACCATACTTTATAATATTTCCTACTTTTTCTGCCCTTCCCGCAGTGTGTCGATGTCCTCTCCACGGGTTCTGTCACGAGGAATCTTTTCAACGGCGATGAGAAAGACCTGTTTGATGTCGTAATAGATAAAGGCACCTTTGATGCTATTAGTCTAGCCCCACCCGAATCTCCCACCGCCACGGATGCGGCAGCCAATCACGAGACGACAGTTCACTGTCAGCGTGCCGCCTCTAAGGGTCCTCGTCAGCTTTACCTAGTACATATCTACCAACTGATGCGGTCCTCGGGCTACTGCGTTATCACGTCGTGCAACTGGACAGCGGAGGAACTCCAACGAGAGTTTGAACAGCCACTGAGTGCGGATCGATCCTCCGAGTCCGCTGGCAACACGTCTCCACGTCCTCTCTTCTCCTACTCTCATGCGCTTCCGCCTCTGCGAACATTCACCTTTGGTGGAAAGACCGGAGCTGATACAGTCTGCCTTGTCTTTAGGCCTGCCAAATAAATTATCTCCCCACACTTATCTCACTGTTAAAACTGATTTTTTTGCACCAAAATCACGGGATCTCGGTTTAGGGAGGGTAATAGCCATGAGGCTCCACTCTCGTCCAGCTTCCATGGACAACAGATAAATTAGTCTTCACGGGTATCACCTATTTAGCAACTATCCTTGGTGAAGCCTGCTAAAGTTTTTGGGTACCATCAGCTTAGGCAGCTCAGTCAGTCTGAGTGGTTTACTAGTGACTGGCTATAGAATAGGACGCAATTGTCTTGTTTTATTTTGACAGAGGACCAAGAGAACCTTCACTTAAGAGGTCAGTCGACATTTTACAGCCTTCCGGACTGCTGTTCAGTCATCGGAGATGCTCTTTTGAACGTTGGCCATCGAAAGTATTTACTTCAAACGCCAGCTGAAGTTTTTTTGATATTGCGCTCCCGCCTTGGGGCGCCGGTTATCCAATATAGTGAGGTTAATATATATGATGACTTTAAAAAGACAGAGGCAAGGGAGACCAGAATTGCAATTTCTGGCTTATTAGCAGTCATACTTAATTCCAGGGGTGGCGAATCCCGAGGTTTGAACCCTCGACCTTTGTTCATCGAGTGCAACAGATCGGGGAGACCTCTACTTCCATCATATTTCCAATCGCATCCAACACGGGCCTATGGTGCAATGGTAGGGTGTTGTACTTGACGACCTAAGTTCACGGGCTCGAATCTCGGGGGTCGCCACCCCCGGAATTGGGTATGACTGGCTGATGAGGACTACTAAGTCAGAAATAAATATTTCGGTTCTCCTTGTCTTTGTCGGTTCCACTTCGTCATATAATACAAGTCGCTATGCAACTGCCTTCGAGTTCCAAGGCACAATGGGACGAGCGTCTCCCGCAACCGTATCGGTGCACGCCCTTCTACCATCGGCTTGGTATATTTCCCAATTCTTTGCTTTATTCTGTAAGCAGTGACATGCCAGGATACGGATACTGATGTGGAATGACAAGCCCTATGCTAAAGAAGATATTTATTTGACGC